AAGTAAAAAATCAGTATAATTGGAATAAAGATATGAATCATATTCATGAACATGCATGAATGTTCTAGAGTAGTCCTATGAGATTCAGGTAAATGGATCAAAAGCATAGAAATCACAACTAAATAAATGTTACATGATTTCCTGCTCTAGACTCTCAGTTCTACCAATTTACAGAAAACGTGAGGACAAAGGAGCCTGTTAAACTACACAATGGAGGTGCAACAGCCAAATCCGGACTCTGGGCAACTCTTTGGGATACATAATACAGTTTAACCAACAAAGACATTGCAAGGACAAAATATAATGAAATTATGGGTAGAATTGTGTCCCCTCAAAGATATATTGAAGTCCTATCCTCTGTTGTTTGTGAATATGACCTTATACAGTCATGACGTAAATAGGGTCTTTGGAGATGTTATCAATTAAGATTACATAAGGTGATATTAGAGTTATATCCTTATAAAAGAGAAGAGACACAGTGAAGTGAAGACAGTTCTGTGAGACAGAGTTATGCTACAGCTTCAAACAAAGGAATGCTCGGGGCTCGCAGAAGTGAAGACAGACAAGAAAGAATCTTCCTCTGGAACTTTTGGAAAGAATATGGTTCTACCAACACCCTGTATTTGGATTCCTAATCCAAATTCTCCAGAACCATGAGACAGTAAATTTCTGTTGTTTAAAACCACCTGCTTTGTGGCACTTTGTTAAGGCAGCCCTAAGAAACAAATACAGAGATGAATGTCAGGAACCCATAGATTGCAGACATATGTAATATATAGACTTTATTTTGATCCTGTTGTTAGGTGCCATCCAGTTGGCTCTGACTCATAGTGACCCTCTGTATAGCAGAGTGACACAATGCCCTGTCCTGCATCATCCTCACAATAATAGGTATGTTTTAGTGCATTGTTGCAGCCATTGTGTCAGTCCATCTCCTTGAGGGTCTTCCTCATTTTTGCTGATCCTCTACTTTACCAAGCATGATATTCATCTCCAGGGATTAGTACTTCCTGATAATGTGTCCAAAACAAGTGAAAGGAGTTTGCCATGCTAGTTTCTAAAGAGCATTCTGGCTGTACTTCCTCCAAGACAGATTTGTTTGTTCTTCTGGAAGTCCATGGTATATTCAATATTCTTTCCCAGTACTATGATTCAAATGTGTAAATTCTTCTTTGGTCTTTCTTTTTCATTGCCCAGTTTTCACATACATAGAAGACAATTGAAAATACCATGGGCTAGGTAAGGTCCACGTTTGTGACACCTTGACTTTTTTAAGATTTTAAAGAGGTCTTTTGCAGCATATTTGCCCAATGCAATACATAGTTTGATTTCTTGACTGTTGTTGCTTCCATGGGTGTTGACTGTGGGCCCAAGTAAATGAAATCCCTGAAAACTTCAATGTTTTCTCCATTTATCACGATGTTGCTTACTGGTCCAGTTGTGAAGACTTATTAAAAAAAAAATTATGTTGATGTGTAATCCACTGAAGTCTTTGACCTTCATCAGTAAGTGCTTCAAGTTATCTTCATTTTAGGCAAGCAAGGTTATGCATATCGCAGGTTGTTAAGGATTCTTCCTCTAATCCCAATGCCGCATTCTTCTTCATATAGTCCAGCTTCTCAGATTATTTGCTCAGTTTACAGATTGAATATGTATAGTGAAAGGATAAAACCCTGATATGCACTTTTCCTGATTTAAAAGCACAAAGTGTACCCTTCTTTTGTTTGAATGACGACCTCTTGGTCTATGTACAGATTCCACATAATCACAATGAGGTATTCTGGAATTCCCATTCTTCACACTGTTATTCATAATTTATTATGACCCACACAGTTGAAGGCCTTTGCATAGTAAATAAAACATAGGTAAGTATCTTTCTGGTATTCTGCCTTCAGTGAAGATCCATCTGACATCAACAATGGTATCCCTAGTTCCATGTCCTCTCCTGAATCTGACTTGAGTTTTTTGTAGTTCCCTGTCAATGTATTGCTGCAACCATATTTTATGTGGCAAAATTTTGCTTGTGTGTGATATTAATGATATTAAATAATGTTTGCATTCCATTGAATCACCTGTCTTTTATTCCATTGAACCACCTTTCTTTGAAATGGGCACAGATAGGAATCTCTTCTAGTCAATTGACCAGGTAACTTTGTTCTAAATTTCTTGGCATAAATGAGTGAGAGCTTCCATTGTTGCATCCCTTTATTGAACCATCTCAATTGGTTCAATTCAGTCAATTCTTGGAGGCTTGTTTTAGCCAATGTCTTCAGTACAGCTTGGACTTCTTTCAGTAGCTAAATTGCACAAATATTTTTTATAAAAATATTTTTGACACAATTGCAAATATGAAAACTGGCTGGATATTTGGTACTATTAAGAAAGTATTACTAATTTTTCAAAAAACAATATGTTTTTATGTCAGTAGTCCTCTTTTAGAGATGCATGTTGAAATAAGTACAGAAATAATGTGATTTCTAGGTTTTGCTTCAAAAGAAAATAGGAGAGGGAAGTATATGAATGGGGTATAGATAAAATAAGATTGGCCACAAATTGATCATTATTGAAGCTGGATGTTGGACACATGGGAACTCATTGTATCTTTCTATTTTTTTATATGTTTTAAAATGTTCAAAATGAAATATTTTTTAAAGTCTTTTGTTTCTTGTCTATATTTTTAGTATTATCTTTATGTTCACATGCCATAAACATTAAGGCAAAGAAATCTTCCAAATGATTACACATGTATTTGTATTAATTGATTCTTTGTTTCCTGGATTGTCAATTAATAATAATTTAATTTGTTTTGCATTTTTGTGTATGTAGGAGATAGTTCTGATCACTTTAAGATTGATGAGAACAGTGGTGAAATAAGAACAACTACAATACTTTCATATGATTACAGACCTTTCTATAGGATGACTATAATTGCCAGTGACCAGGGCATGCCTCCCCTTCAAGGTCATGCAGTTATTAATATTCAGGTAATGTTCTGTTGTTGCCATAGAGTGAAATTGGATGTTCTGAAAGTTTTCTTTGATTTTTACACAAGTGCACAGAAAGAAGATACATTAAACATATGAATAGTCTTTTATGAGAGCATTGCACATACCCGTGTACCATTTGATTATGACTAGAGAAAGTATTGAGATACAAATAATTAACAAAATTTTGCTTGGTAGAGTTCTTGACAAGATATTAACCTTCATCACTATATGGATATTTGTTTTGCTTTGTCTATAATGAACAAAAATAATTTTTTCTTTTACTTGTTCCTAAATGCAAGGACTTGGTAAGTTTCTAGCAGAAATTTGTATGTAAACAAATGGCTACCCAATAAAATACATTTTTTTTTGTAATTATTTTTAAATTTACAAAAGTCACTTGAAAACCATATTTTAATATTTTTCTTTCATCATAATGAACAGACAACTTGTGGTAAGTTTTTATATCAGAAAAACTTACACCAGCCTCAAAAACAAGATGACTGTGCATAGCTAGATTTTTCTGTTCATATACTTGACAATCAGTTATATGTTTTAGGAATGCATAATCACCAATATAAACATGTATAATAATCAATAATATGTATTCCTAAGAGTTCTGCTTCCAAATTATATTCTTTAATGATTAAGGATACATGAGTTAGCAGAAAATTTTATATGGTCATTCCTCAAGTCCTTTGTTACAGAGAAAGATAAGTGATACTTAAAATGTACAGAGATGTGGTCATTGTGTATATCTTGCTCTCTAGCATGAAGAGATCAAGGACAAATTTGGACAACTAGCCATTTCATATTCCCATTGAAGAATCACAGGCTACAGCTCAGCATGACTTCACCAAGCTGTCATTTCACATTTTACAATAAATTGGGAATTACAAATTTTTGTAGTTTATTATCTCTTAGTTATCAGGAAGTTTTCAATCTTCAGAGACATAATGGAATTATATCACATGAAAAGATGTTTTCTCATCAACTAACCTGTGTATATCACATAAAGGCAATGAATTAGCTTTCACAATAATGTCATAACATGTATCGATACAATTGTTTAAAAGATCTCCTCGATTAACAGCTTTTTAAAATTCTCATTTCAGGTGATACCACAATCCAGAGGGAGCTCTATCATTTCTCAGAATATTAGACATTTGGTTATACCAGAAAACCTGAAGCCTGCGAAAATAATGAACTTGATAAAGTCATCTGACCACCTGCAACAACATCACAATAGAAAGTTACATTTCAGTATCATTGCAGATGACAAGGATAGTCATTTTGACATTGACAGCTCAACAGGAGACTTGTTTCTTTCCAAGGGACTTGATTATGAAATGACATCTCATTATCTTTTCCGGGTGGTTACTAAAGACCATAGCAAAGATCCTCCTCTGAATAGCACAGTCTTCCTTAGTATTGATGTGGAAGATCAGAATGACCATTCCCCCACTTTCCAGGAAGAATTCATTGTGGTCAGTATAGAAGAGAATGTTCCTATAGGTACTCTAGTATATATTTTCAATGCCAAAGATGGTGATGGCAGTTTTCTGAACAGTAGAATACAGTACTTCATTGAATCCCATCATCCTGGAAGGAACCCATTTCTCATCCACCCCTCATCTGGCACATTAGTCACTGCATCCCTCCTTGACAGAGAAAGTGTTCCCACTGTCATCTTGAAAATAACTGCATCTGATCGGGCTGTGAATGTGACAGACCGACGACTGAGGTCACTGATGGTTAAGGTAGTGATTTTAGATGTAAATGACCACAGCCCCACGTTCATGTCCTTCCCCATTGTTCACATCAAAGAGGATGCTACAGTGGGCTCCGTGGTGCACCATATAACTGCTCAAGATCCAGATGAAGGAAGGAATGGAAGAGTAACATACAGCATCCTCTCGGGAAATGAAAACTTGGCCTTTATACTAGATAAGTCATCAGGTACAGTGCAGAATATGTCACTTTAAATTAAAGTTTCTGGTCACTTGTTTAAGGAGCTCTGGTGGTACAGCACCTAAGGCATTTGGCTGCTAACCAGAAGGTTGGTGGTTCAAACTCACCAGCTACTCCACGAAAGGAAGATAAGGCAATCTACTTCCATAAAGATTTACCGCCTTGGAAACCCAATGGGGTTCGCTATGAGTTGGAATGTACTCCATGGCAGTGAGGTTTTTTTTTCACCCCTGGCTTCTTGTTTTTGTTTATCCCTTTGACTGTCCTCTTTGTTAAAATGATAGTTCTCAAGAAGCATATGCTTTAAGAAAAAAATGGCTTGATTTACTTGTGTAACATATGTATGATAAATACAGAAGTTATATGATCTATTTGTTGATATTGATATATTGTGTATCTGGTTTCTAGTTCATATATAGTAGCCACCTTCTTTGCCTCTACTGTGGGTCCTCACAGGGTAGGAGATGGTACCAAAAGTGAATCAAGGTAAAGAAACAAACAAAAACAAATGAGTTGCCATCCAGTCAGTTCTGACTCATGGCAACCCCAAGTGGTAAAAGTAGAACTGTGCTCTGTAGAGTTTTCTTGGTTGATTTTTCAGAAGTAGATCAGCAGACCTTTCTTCCCAGGTGCCTCTGGGTAGACTCAAGCCATCAGCATCTTGGTTAGTAGCTGTGGTCTTAAGAACATGACTAATCCAAAACATTATTCAAAAACTTTAGTGTGGAAACTTGTATTTAAAGTCATATAAGCATACATTTGTAAGTAGCTGGAAGTACTATATATCTGATTTATAAAATAATGTATTTTTGAATGGCTGGACTGATTTGGACATTAAGACCCTTGCTTCTCAAAGCAATTGTAACACTTCATTTTTTGCAGAGGCATTTAATCACTCTCAGGTAGTCTGTGGAAATGTCACTCACTGTCACATCACTTGTCCTGCCATCATCATGTTGCCGGATAACATCTACTAGAAATTTGATGTAGCTTTATGGAAGAGTATAAGTTATAAGTACAAAGTATCATTCTTATGAATTTGGAAATGAACTTCCCTCTATCTGTTTTTCAAAGAATATTGAAAACTAAATGGACTACTATCTCATTCTCTAAAAAATAAAGTCATTTCCCCATGAGCCTTAGAAACACTCTCACATGCGTGCATACCATTTGGCCCAACTGCTAGTAAGAACATTATTTGGAATGGGACTGAACGTGGAGGATTTAGAAATCATGATTATAGTCTGGCTATATTCTGTTGGAAATTTTCATCAAAATATTTATTAAATCCACTACATATGGTTCCATTCTGAGGCATGTGTGGACCCAACCTAAATGCCCAACTGACACAGAGATAGTCCAGACACAGCCGCTGATTTCTGTTGGAAGCAGGACTCTCCAAGGGCCTATTTCAATGATACTTAAAACATTTTCCAAGATGGCTAGGAAAGCTCTATTTCATAGTGTTAAAGATGATGGATACAATGAGAATTATGCCTCAGTAATATAAGTCTCATGAATCTCGAACAATTGCAGTGGCTGTTTCAGTTGAGATATTTTTCAAAGACATAAAATAATAATTGCTGAATGCATTTACATGAGCTAGGTAGCCTTTTTCTCTCACAAGACTCATATTTCTTATCTAGTGAGTTTTTCAATGACTTACAGCTGTGAAGTATGAAGTTAGGATTTTATAAAATCTGAATCAGTAGACCTCTTCTTTAATTATTAAATTATTTGAATAAAAGCTCTTAATAGGATGAGTCAGAGACACAAACAGCAATCTGGAAAAAAATGCAACAATTGGAATCATGCAAAAATTATGTGTATGTAAGACTATCACGTTTTGCTTCTATGGGTTATATGTGTAAATGGCAACAGACTGGAGACATGTTTTATTCATGAAACTTATTGTCTGGGTCATAAGGTCTTTCTCTTTGTTGTTGATAACAAAAGACACTTAACTGACAGTAGTATAAAGAGACCATAACTCTTTAACAAAAACCAAATATCTTTAAAAAATATAACCGTCCTCATATTTTTATTTTCACTTCTTTATTGTTAATATCCTAGATACCTCTTTAAATGAAGGTAGATGTTGGTAGATATGTAATTGTGGTGCAGTACTCTCAGTGTATAATGGTATAGATTATTTCTGATTTCACCTTCATCCTAAAAATTTCAATGGGGATGATTTTTCCAACTATTAACGTTATCTTTTTATTCTAGAAAGCGTATCATTTTAAAATTGCCTTAAGAACACCTATTCTTTGAGAGTTAAAGCTTCTGCATTTTGAGCAAGTCAGATAAGTTAGACATAGGAAGAGTGAGCTAGATGTCACTAAAGAATATTTATTATACATTTTTCTTCTCTTTCAAAACAGGCCTTCTAACTACAACTTGTTCTTTGGATCATGAAATCCGATCACAGCACATTCTGACCCTACTGGCACTGGATGATGGCATACCAGCGCTTTCTTCATCCCAGACCTTGACAATTACTGTTCTTGATGTAAATGATGAGATACCAGTATTTAAGCAGCACTTGTATAAAGCTTCAGTTAAAGAAAACCAAAATCCAGGAGAGTTTGTCCTAAGAGTGGAAGCTATGGATAGAGATTCAGGTAATTTAAAAATATGGAAAGTATGTAGTTAATACTAAAAAGAAAACACTCAAAGATTATAATTGGCATAATTTAAATTAGTTCTGGCCATGGAAAATGAAAACAGATGTTAGTTGCTTCAAACTTCTTATAGTTCTCTCATTCTCTACACATAAAATCTCATGCACATGTCAAGATAATGTGTGCTTTTATAGCATGGGATTGCACTGACCTTTAGTATTGTTTATAGCAGAGTGTTATACCTAATTAGCATACAATTTATTGGTCTGATCTTGAAATTAAACAGAAGGATAGACAAAACACCGTACTTTTTTCAGAGTCTAATATTTACATACTTTGAATGCAAGAAGATAACTGGTTCTTTATTTCCTGTATAAATAGCATAGTGCAAGAGTGAGGGTGCTAGCATCAGATTGAATCTTAGTGCTAGCACTTACTAGCTGTGCAAATTAAATAAGGTACTAAACTTCTCTGTGCCTGTTTCATCTGTAAAATGAGAATAACAAGAGTGCTTATTTTGTAGTTCTGATATGTGTATGAAATAAGTTACTACGTGTAAAGAGCTTAGCTCAGGGTTTAGAGCAGTAAGTACTCAGTAAATGTTAATTCTAATATTACTATTGCTGTTATTATTTTTATTAATATCAACTACTGTGTCCATAAAGATGACTTTGAAGTGAATAGTTATGATGGTAAGAAACTTACAAATTTTTTAGAGTTGCTTTTCAGTATATCTATAGCTCTTCTGGCATTTAAGTTTCAGTTACTTTAATAATATTTGAGTTGCAATAGTTGCAAATAGGGGCAGTGGTAGTTCCGTGCTAGAATTCTCACTTTTCATGCAGGTGACCTGGGTGTGGTGCCCAGCCAGTGCACCTAGTACATAGCCACCACTCATTTCTCAGTGTGGGCTTCCATATTGTTATGATACTGAACGAGTTTCAACAAAGCTTCCAGAATAAGGCAGACTAAGAAGAAGAATCTGGTGAACTATTCCTGAAAGTCAGCCAGTGACAATCATATGGATCACAAAGGTCCAATTCCATTCTGCATGGCCATTAGTCAGGGGCCAGCTGGACAGCAGCTAACTTCCTCAACAATTTATCATTAATAGTGTATGTTGAATTTTCCTAGCTGAATTAACATGGATAATTTAATAAACCAAAATTTTAAATGCATATTTGTATATAGCAAGTGGATTACATGTTAGTATAATGTTTTGTTCTATCTTGGAAGAAGAATAATAAATGTTTCCATGAAAATAGTGGTATTAACAAGCATTATCCCCCTAAATTATTAAATCAAAGATGTAAAAATTATACATATGTAAGACTTTATCACATACGTGAGGTTTAAAACAAATATAACATGAGCGGTCAGCTAAGATGCAGCTATCAGTCTCTCCCTTTCTGGAGCAAAGAAGAGTGAAGAAAATCAAAGATGTAAGGAAATAATTAGTCCAAAGGACTAATGGCCCACAGGTATTCCAGCCTCCATGACCATGAGACCACAAGAATTAGATGGTTCCTGATTACGACTGCTGACCTCTCTGAAAGAGATCACAATAGAAGGTCATAGATAGATGGGAGAAAAATGTGTAATAAAACTCAAAATAATAATAAAAAAAAAGACCAGAATTCCTGGTCTAATTGACCCAGGTGGAACTCCTGAAATTGTGGCCCTTAGACACCCTTCAAACCTGGGACTGAACTCAACCCCTGTATCTCAATTTTAGCCAAACAATGACAGCTTATATATATGGTGGTGAACAGTAGCACCATGAAGGTACTCATCCTTTAGAACAATCAACTATGTGAGATCAAAAGGGCACTATTTGCCCAGGGATAAAGCTCAGAAAGAGGACATGGAATCAGGAGTATCACTGCTGGTGTGACATGGATCTTGGCTGAAGGCAAAGAATATCACAAATGTGTTTACTGTGTTTTATTGACTATGCAAAGGCATTTCACTGGATCATAACAAATTATGGATAACATTATGAAAAACAGGAGTTCCAGAACACATAATTGTACTCATGAGGAACCTCAAGAAGCTTCATTTGAATAGAACAAGGGAATACTGCATGCTTCAAAATCAGAAAGAGTGTACATCTGGGTTGTATCCTTTCACCATACTTACTCAATCTGTATGCTGAGCAAATAATCTGAGAAGCTGGACTATATGAATAAGAATGTGGCATTAGGATTGGAGGAAAACTCATTAACAACCTGATATACAGATGACACCACTTTGCTTGCTGAAAATGAAGATGACTGGAAGCACTTACTGATGAAGATCAAAGATAACAGTCTTCAGTGTGGATTACACCTCAATTTAAAGAAAAAAATCCTCACAACTGGACCAATAAGTAACATCACAATAAATGAAGAAAAGATTGAAATTGTCAGAAATTTCATTTTACTTGGATCCACAATCAACCCCCATGGAAGCAGCAGTCATGAAATTAGATGTCATATTGCACTGGTCAAATTTGTTGCAAAAGACTTCTTTAAGATGTTAAGAAGCAAAAATGGCATTTTGAAGACTAAGGTGTGCCTAACCCAAGCCATAGTATTTTCCATCACCTCACATACATGTGAAAGTTGGACAGTGAATAAGGAAAATTTATTCAATATAAGTGAATAATAAGGAATAAGAGTTGATGCTTTTGAATTATGGTGTTGGCGAAGAATAATGAAACTTCTGTGGACTGCCAGAATAACAAAGAAATCTGTCCTGGAAGAAGTGCAGCCAGAATATTCCTTGGAAGCAAGAATATCAGACTCCACCTCACCTAGTTGGGTTGTGTTGTTAGAAGGGGCCACTCCCTGGAGAAGGACATCATGCTTTGTAAGGTGGAGAGTCAACAAAAAGGGGAAGACCCTAACAAGATGAAGTGACACAGTGGCTGCAACAATGGGCTCTCTTATGGCAAGGATTATGACATTGGTGTAAGACTGGACAGTGTTTTGTTCTGTTGTACATAGGGTCACTATGAGCCAGATCTGACTCAAGGATACCTAACAACAATGACAAAAGCTCAGAAATCAGGAAGCAATAGGAAAGAAGGAGGAATGGAATTGGCAAACACAGGGAGAAAGTGGGAAGAGTGATGTTACATAGTGGGGATTGCAGTGTCACAAAGCAAAGTATGTCTGAATTGTTGAATGGAAAACCAATTTGCTCTGTAAACTTTCACCTAAATCTCAATAAAAAGTTATTATATTTTTTAGGAGCTAAATTATATACCATTTAGAGGCTTTGCCCCTTTGGGAAACATCATCTTTTAATACAGTACATTTTATATGAATTTGTATGTGATGCTGTAACCTAATTTTCTTTTTTTGACCAGAGTGGGGCAGTATGATCAAAGAATTTTTCTCAGCATGCTAAAAGACACAGGACTGGAGCATGTTGACTGTCGTCGTTTGTCCTGACTAAGTCTTTAAATAATATCTTATGCAGTTTCTGGCAGCATAATTTTTAGAGTGATAGGAACAATGTAGAATATACATAAATTTTGTGTCTCACCATATCAGCTCAACAAAGTTCTCTTACAGTGTTCTCTGTTATAAACAGAGTAATGTAGGGCTCTGGGCAATACAACAAGTGTATCCAAAACTATACAGACATGTACTGTTCCTACCACTGAGATGATGCATTTTAGCAATATTAAAGTGTGTAAAATGCTTCCTCTTGGCCATACTTGATTTTATTTTTTTGTAATGGTTTATACTGAAATGATTTCCTTTGTTTCAGTGTTTTAAAAGGGAGAAAAGAATATCTCTAAATTTTTTACATAGATCAACTAAAGATGATTATCACAAATATGTGCTTCTGATTTTTACTGTAAAGTTGCCTAGTGTTAACATTATTTTCTTTTAGAATGAGTAGTCTATAACATGTTATAATTGAATTCAAAGTTCATTATTCTAGAGATTACAAAGTTGCCTGAGAATTTGGATGCAAAAATGATTGTTTTTCTGGCTTTGGATTTATGGATGTTTAAAAAATACATTAACCTCTTCATGAGTCACATGTTTTGAAGATGATATTGATTTACTGGAAATCTCAGTGTTTCTAATGAGAACAGATCCATTAAACAAGTGGTTGTGTGAATGCATGTGAATTTGTCTTCATGCATTTTTTTTTGAAACATGTCTCTTTTTTTCTTCTGCTGCTAGTTGGCTTAAAATTGAAAAAGAATTGTGTATGAGCATTAAATGATGTAGTCAAGATTTTAACATAACTGGCATCACATTGGAATTTATGAATGGTTTACTTTATAGTATTTTTTTTAAAAAAATACTGTAGCATTACTTAATACTAGAAAGCTCAAGCTCAACCTCAACATATGTTTTCTAGCATTATA